TCAAAGGAGAAATTATCAAAATGGTTTTATAATTTGTACCCATACATAGGTCATATGAGAGAGAAATATGGAAGGTGATGAAGCGTTTTGCATTCCCTTGTTTTCCTCAATATGAAATAATCCAACCCTGGTAGAAACATTCCATTTTAATCTCCTCCTCAGGGCATGGTATTTCATATGTTCTCTTTTTCCTCCATGCCCTCTCCTCTCAGGTATTCATTTGATACCTAGAGTGGTAAGGTTGGTGCTTGACTACTAACCTAAAGATTGGCAGTTTAAACCCACTGCAGAAGAAAAGGGCTGGTGATCTGCTTCGGTTAAGATTACAGCCAAGAAAACCTTCTGGGGAAGTTCTACTCTATAACACATGGGGTCGCCATGAGTCAGGTTTGGTTTTCTTTGGTATGTGAAGACATGTTTGTTTTTATTGTTCTTGAAGAGATACACAGCAATTTTAATGGTTTATTAGTGACAAAGAAGGCTTATTATTTTATTTATATGTATTAAAAATTGGTTTGGGGATGAGGGGAGGATGTAGTAATGTGATTAATAATTACTTTCAAAATCTAAGTAGACCCTTCTCTTTTGAACTAGAAAAGATAATTTCTAAAAATTCGTCATCTGTCAACAGCTTTTTAAATAAATAGGCTAGAGTACACAGATTTGTTGTTGTTAGGTGCCGTTGAGTTGGTTCTGACTCGTAGCGACCCTATGTACAACAGAACGAAACACTGCCTGGTCCTGAGCCATCCTCACAATCGTTATGCTTGAGCCCATTGTTGCAGCCGCACTGTCAGTCCATCTTTGTGAGGGTCTTCCTCTTTTTTCGATGACCCTCTACTTTATCAAGCATGATGTCGTTCTCCAGGGACTGATCCCTCCTGATAACATGTTCAAAGTATGTGAGATGTAGTCTCACCATCCTTGCTTCTAAGGAGCATTCTTGCTGTACTTCTTCCAAGACAGATTTGTTCATTCTTTTGGCAGTCTGTGGTATATTCAATATTCTTTGCCAACACAATTCAAAGGCATCAATTCTTCTTCAGTCTTCCTTATTCATTGTCCAGCTCAGCTTTCACATACATATGAGGCGATTGAAAACACTATGACTTGGGTCAGGCACACCTTAGTCTTCAAGGTGACGTCTTTACTTTTTAAACCTTTAAAGAGGTCTTTTGCAGCAGATTTGTCCAATGCAATGTGTTGTTTGATTTCTTGACTGCTGCTTCCAAGGGTGTTGATTGTGGATCCAAGTAAAATTAAATCCTTGACAGCTTCAGTCCTTTCTCCGTTGATTATGATATTGCTTATTGGTCCAGTTGTGAGGATTTGCAGCTGTCTTCCAAATTGCTTGGCAGAGATGAGTAAATACTTCTAGCATTGCATCTGTTTGTTGAAACAGCTCAGTTGGTATTCTGCCAATTCCTAGAACCTTGTTTTTTGCCAACGCCTTCAGTGTAGCTTGAACCTCTTCCTTCGGTTTCATTTGTTCCTGATCATATGTTACCTCCTGAAATGGTTCAACGTCGACCAATTATTTTTGGTATAGTGACTCCGTGTATTCCCTCTATCTGTTTTTGATGTTTCCTGCATCGTTTGATATTACACAGATATCAATTTGTAATAAATTGGAATATTTCAGCATTAAAGCTTTTCATAGTGAGCTTTATGGATAATATGATTTCAGGCATTTTGGAATGTTCTTAACAACATTAGTTGCAATATGTGTAACCGGAATTCTATCACCTGTTGATACATTCAAAAAGGTATAGCCTGCTTCAACCACCCTTTTTTCTCTCATGCTAAAAAGATAATATTTACTTACATAAGCCATAACATGTCCTTCTTACTACTTGAAAACAGAGATTAAACATAAAGAATTAGTAAATATGAGAAATTTCTTTAAAAAATGCATTATATAGAGTTAATTCTTTGGAAAATAAATAAAAAGACTAAGGTAATTTTGTTTCACTTTTAATTAACTTTTATTTTTATTAGATCTATTCGGTGTCCTTTCATTTATAAAACACTTAAGAGAAAAGTAAGCTGGTATTATTTTAATTGTACTCGAATTATTTTAGTTTCATTTAAACAAAGAGACTGCTGTATTTGAATATTATTTTAAAATTCAGTCAACATTGTTGACTTACAGCTATTATTTTTACTTGTTAGAATCTAGTTTTCTTTGGACTGATAAAATCTCAATTTTTAATGCAGGCAGTATTTTAATTTTTAGTGTAGGTAATATTTCTGAATAAACAGTGAAATTTACTTCTTTTTTCAGGAAATTTTTTTCCTTCCCTTTATCTTATTATTTATTATTATTATTTTTTGGTGTATAATCAGAGTTCTTGATGGGAATGTGAAGTAGAAAAGATTATTTAGTAATAAAGCTTATGAAAAATCTCAAGAGAGATTTATAATGAGAAGCAGAAGAAAGAGGAATTAAACAGGACTCAACTTATGCCTCTTACATCAGTTATTCCAGTTCTATTGAATGGCAATAAAAACTCACAATATGTCACCAATTTAAGGCAATCCAGCTGTTTCAAAACAACTAGCATGTGAATTATATGGGTAATGATTGAATTCCTTTTCTGTTAAGGAAAAGAGGGTCCTAAGCATGCACTTAGTAGAATATATAGGAGGTTGCATCTCAGTTTTGTGGTTAGAAGTAATGAGACATGTAGCAGGATGCCCTTGGTTTTGCTTAAATGATACTTTAGATAATTCCAAGAGAACTATAGATTCTTCTATAAATTGTAGCATAGACTGCTTTTTGAAGGATCATTGACAGCATACTAAAAAAAAAAAAAAAATCCCAAACCCATTGCTGTCAAGTCAATTAGAACTGTGCTCCAAAGAGTTTTCAATGGCTGCAATCTTAAGGAAGGAGATCGCTAGGCCCTTCTGTAGCCCATTGGGGCTTTCTTCTGTGATGCTGCTGGGTGAATCTGAACTGCCAATCCTTTGGTTAGTAGCTGATGGCAAATTATTTGCATCACCCAGGGACCTTTGATAGCATACTACTAAAGCTTAATTGATGCCATTCTTTACGTAAAAAAGTCAAAGCCAATTGATTTTTTTAAATGACATTTTCTGAGAGGTAAAATTATCTTTAAGATTTAAAGCAAATTGAGCCAGGAATTAACTCCGTGGTGGTGTAGTGACTGTTCCTTAGTGGTAGAAACAACGGTGGTCATAGCTGCTAGTAAAATGTTGAAATACTTCGATAACAGTTGGTCAGTAGCTGTTGCCCTGACCTAGTCCCATGACCACCCTGCTGTTCTGTTGCCTCCCCTCCCCCAACCCCTCTACCAGGATGCCTCAAATCTCCTTAAATTCCAGCAAAGGGCTAACACCTGTCATCTTTGTGGGCTTTCAGGTCCCCAATTCAGCCTATGGCCCACATGGGTTCTGATTAGTCAGCATGTGCTGTGCTAATTTTCATATTTTAAATATAACCCTTGGGTTCACCTTTTCTAAATGATTTCTTTGGAACTCAAACCTGACATATTTTCTTAAGTGCTGTTAATATTATCACAGAATTTTGAGGTAAATGATTACTATTAGTATCGATTAATTATAAAGTACTATGGTAGCATTTTGGTCTTTATTTCATGTCTTTGTGGCTAAGTTAAATTTTTAATGAATTATCAGAAAGCTATATATTGAGGCTATGGTATTTGCAAGAGAGAAAAATATGAAAGACCAGACTTGTTCTGAGACCTCTGATCACTCAAAAAATTAAATGAGTTTTCTTGCTTATTAGGATCTGAAAAACTTACCTTCAGCTAAGAACGTAAGAAAAAGATAATAGTTTTTCCCCTCATGGGAAACAAAGTTGATATACACCATTACTTTTCATACACAGAACCTGACCTACTTGTAATAGTTTTCCCTGATCTTCACCTTCTGAGACTGTGATAGGTGCCCCTGTTTGGCTCCTATACCCAAACGTACTGGTTTATCTCCACATACCCCATTGTGCTGGAATTATCTGGTTGTTCCTGCCTCTTATTCCTCTGTGTATTCTCCCATTGCCTGGGATAGTGCTTGGCACATAGCAGACACTCAGGAGATGTTCCTTGAATGTGAAAGAGAAAACACTAAAAACAGTGATTTCCACTAAAGATATTAAATGTTGTTACTTAGCAGCAATCTCTTCAAGCATGCAAGACACTCTAGCAGTGAACACAGGATGACCTCTTCTCCATGGAATAGGGCCAGGAATTCGAAAGCAGTAGAGGATGTGCTGAGGTCAAGGGTTCTGAAGCAGCATGAGCGTCCTCCTACCACTGTGACCCGCTGGCACTGTACCAGCTCTCCCCCTTCCCCTTAAATGATTTTACCCTAGCTTCCACAATGTGTTCTAGGACAAAAGGTTTCTATAATCAATTACATTTGAAAAATGTCATATGCAATAGCCACCCCTTGGAGATTCATTTTGCATTGTTCTTTATTACAAATCCTGAAAGAATCCGATAGGAAAGAAACGTAGTTAGGCTTGTTTAACTCAACATTTCACACATGTTATTTGACCATAGACTACCTTTAGTTCAAGAAAGACCTATTTACATGTCAACAGATAAAATGTATTTTAAAAAAAAAAATTGAGCATACAAAGCTCACTTTGAATTCTGGCACTATTATTCATGCAATTTTAGGCAAGTTACATAATCTTTCATCCTTCTGCATCTCAGTTTCTTTATGTACAAAATGCAATAATAATAATACCTTCTCATAGGTTGTTGTGAGGATCTAGTGAAATGTCATAGCTAATATACCTAGTTCAGGGACGAGCATTTTGTAAATACTCAGTATATGTGAATTCCTTAGCCTTCTCTCAGATCCCGTCACACCCTGTCTTTGTTTTTCTCTTTCCCCTTTTAAGCTAGCAGGATTTTTTTCTTTTAACCAGCACTTACTGGAGAAAAGAATTCATTATTAAGAGCCAACAGTCATTGTCTTTCTGCTTTTCTGTCTGGCACAGGTGGAAAATGTCTTTTGGAGGCCTGATTTTTTCTAACCAGTTTATTCGAATAAAGACCGCTATCCCATCCAGTTCAGTCTATGGATTCGGTGAACATGAACATCCATCCTTTAAGCATTCCATGAATTATATTAAATATGGAATGTTTTCCAGAGATCAAGCGCCAGTGGTAATGTGTGAACATATATAGATTCTTAATATTAAAAATCTGTTTATTAAAAGAAAAAGAGACCATGAATAAGAATGATTTTCTATAAGGTGCTATAAATGTACTCTCAGAAGTCATTTTAGTTTAAATTTAATCAATCATCAAGGCAAATACAAAAATCTATATCCTCTCATGATTCTTTTTACCAGTTTGCCTTTTACCCTAATAATGTAAATTATTCTTTTTTTTGGCATGTCATTAATTAGTACAGAATCTCATTGAGATAGGATAATAAAATGATAATCAGTCATCAAAAACCGTGATATTTCTTGCTTTTGCAGGCATTTAGCAATCTCTATGGAGTTCATCCTTTTTATATGTGCATAGAGAATGATTTTAATGCACATGGTGTTCTTCTCCTGAATTCCAATGCCCAAGGTAATGTGATTATCTGGCTAAATTATAAAGAAGCAAATGCACAATTTAAATGCTGAAATTGCTTTTTCTTCCTTTTAAGAACACATATTAATTAGTACAAAAAAGATTGAGAGATTATAATTTAGTATTTCGTTTCAAAATAGAAAACTTTATAGTGAAACATATAAACAGTCAGCGATACACTGCAAAATTCTGCTAAGGCCCATGGTGCTAAACGCACATGAGAAATCAGCAGCTATTTGAATAAGCAGTGTCTGTTAGAAAGGTCACTGTAATGCAGTATCACTGGATCTGTCATATCATCTAAGCAATGTAAGCATTGCCAAGGCCACCTTTTTGCATTAAATTAGTCTAGAAATATTTGAAATGTATCTCCAGTGCAGCAGCTTTCCTTAATTGTATGTGTTTGAGGCTAAACTGAAACTGTCTCGTGTGTGTGTGTGTGTGTGTGTGTGTGTGTGTGTGTGTGTGTGTGTGTGTATGTATACGTAAATGCAATAGATAACTGACTTGATGAGCTCTTTAGTAAAGAAAATGAAACTGAATGTACAGAACTGGCAAATTCTGGCAGATGCTTAGATGCTATCACAGCTATGAATAATGCCTAATACAATTATTAGCTTTGGTAGCATATAAATAGTAGAAATATGAAAACAGTGATCTCTGCCACTTGTTTTATTTGTGCTTATTCTCTACTTTGCTTTTTTCTACTCAGATGTTACTCTGAACCCACATCCTTCTATAATGTTCCAGACCATTGGAGGAATACTTGACTTCTACATGTTTCTTGGCCCCACTCCTGAAAATGTTGTCCAACAGTACACAGAGGTGAGCACAGCACTGAAATTAACACTCACGTTTCGTTGCCCTGGCTCTGAAGGGGGAGGAGTGCTTAGCAAATTTATGAATTACCCACCCTTTAGCTTTTTAATCTCATGGCTAATTGTTTCCACTTTAAGTAAAGGCTTCCGACTTGATTTTAATTTATTAAAGAAAGGTTTTAAACCTTATATACCTTATCAAGGTGCCGTACTTAACACTTTGGCATAATTTGGCCAGAAGACTCCTGAAATAAAATTACACCTCCCAAAAATATTCTAGAGTTCTAGATTGAAGTTCACCCCCACCCCTCAGAGTCGTAGCTCGGCATCTCATTTCTGTTTATTCTGGTCCATTATGCCCTGCGGCGCTTGACACGTCTCCCAAAAATACTCAGCTCTCAGTCACTCCCATCTGAATTGGGTTTTGAGGGGGTCAGTGTTTGAAGGAATATCTCCCAACAGGACAGAAGTCAGGGAAAACTATGCAGAAATGACCTTGGCTTATGATCTGTGTTCCCTTCCCTTCCCTTCCCTTCCCATCATCCTTCTAGATGTTTCTTTAGGTACCCCACTTCTGTCCCCTCTGCTGTATCTATCAGGCATTTGGCACACAGATAGTACCCAACATATACTGCCAATTTATTGCTCATTTCCCATCCAACTGTCCTTCCTCAAATGATCTCTTCTCTCAAGGGTGCATTAGTCAAATACTAAAATTCATAGGGATGTTGTATAGTTCAAAATAAGACGCTTGCTAACTCAAATGAATAAATGGCCTGATAAAATAATTATAGAATTTATACGAAGAGAATGGGAGAGGAGGCAGGTATTTTGTGGGCCAGGGGAGGGCCTTAGCAGAGCTGTTTAAATAATACCTACTAGAATGTCTTTTGTTATAAGACTGCCGCTGAATCTGAGCAGTAGCAAATTCAAAACTTAATGACAAAAAAGGACTTTTCCTACTGGAAAATTTCCCAGTTCTCGAAGAGATCAGGGAGTGACTGATGGAGGTTACTGGGCCAAGTTGGAAACAAGGCCTGCACCAAATTTTGAGGCTTCAGGGGATCCTGTAATGAGCACATAGCTTCACTTTCCCGAAGTCTTCTCACAGATGCTTCTTCGCTGAGCTTAGGAAAGACTGTATTGGGAGTGGGGAGAAGAGGGAGCTGCAAAGAAAGCTATATAAAGCTGACAGTGATAGCCATTTTCCTGTCTTTGTTTTGCTTTCTTGTTTCAGTCCCTCCTGTTGCCACCCCACCTGCCCACTATGGATACTTACAGCAGGACTTAGCGGACTAGAGTGGTAATCCCACATGCCCCGCACCTCTTGCTAGAACAGGCTTGTTTTGATTCTTAAAGCCTTTGAGTAGGCAGCAAGAGTGGTAACAAAAATCAAGAAAAATTTACTCCCTTATCTACTTTATCTCCTGGGCAACTTCCCACTTCTTTGAAGACATCTTAACAAAAGAAATAAACATTTTTCTTTCATCGCATGTTAATCCTGTTGATAATACAACTTTGCTTAGCTCATTCAGTATACCAGGGGAGATGGTAAGCTGGTTATATATACCTGTATAGTTGGAATTATGAGTAAGAATCCCAGTACCCGATGGCCTGGATTTGAATCTTGTCTCTATCACTGACAAACTGTATGATCTTGGGCAAGTCACTTAGCCTCCCTGTGTCTTTCATTTTTCTCATCTGTAAAATGGGATCATTAAAATACCTCCCTTATAGGGTTTCTGTTATAATTAAATGGGATAATATGTGCAAGCTCCAATAAATTCCATGAAATGGTCACTTTTTCTTATCTCATTGGACCTCTCTGCAGCTTGGTGACCATGCTCACTGAACTCCATTTGCTTTGCTTTTGAAACAGTATCTCCTTGTTCTCTTTACTAATTCTTCTGACTACTTTGGCTTAATCTCTTGACAGACATTTTCCTCCTCCATTAAGTGTTGATGTTCCTTAGGGTTCTCTGTTTTTTTCAAGTATAGTTTCCGTAGTAATGTCATGTATACTTACAATGTCACCCACTATGCATGTACTGATGAATTACATACCCCTATGTCTAATCCCGGAGCCCTGGTGGCACAGTGGTTAAGAGCTCGGCTGCTAACCAAAAGGTTGGCAGTTTGAGTCCACCAGCTGCTGCTTGGAAACCCTATGGAGCAGTTCTACTCTGTCCTATAGGGTCGCTATGAGTCCAAATTGACGGCAACAGGTTTGGGTTTTTTTTTTTCTTTTTTTTCTGGTCTCTCTAATCCCAGGCCCCTGGACAGTGCAAACAGTTTGTGCTGGGCTATTAACTTAAACGTTGGCAGTTTGAACCCACCCACCAGTGCCGAGGAAGAAAGGTCCTGGCAAGCTGCTTCTGGAAGGATTACAGCAAAGAAAACCCTATGGAGCAGTTCTACTCTGTAACACATAGGGTTGACATAAACTGGGATTTTTAATTTTTGTTTTAAATCTCTAATCCAAAGCTTTTTTCAAAGTCCAGCGCATTTCTTTCTGCCTACTGAAAATGTATACTTCGGGTCCCATTGGCATCTCTAACACAACATCCTATACTAAATCATTTCTTTCCTAAACTGCTTACTTAAGGTGAATTAGTTTTGTTATGATCTTCTGAGTTAATGGAATTATCACGAACCTAAACATCCAAACAAGAACCTTGGAAGTTCTCTTCTCAATCCTTCATTCCCCATGGTTCATGGGTTGACTCTGTCTGCCTCTTTCCGTCTCCGACAGCCTTGCCTCAACGAGCCTTCATCTTCTCTTCTTGGGCGATTGTAATAGCTTTGGAACTTGTTTTCTTGCTTCCTGTCTGGCTCCCCTACAAACCATCTTTCACGTTGTTGCCAGGAGGATAATTCTAAAATGCAAATCCTACCTGTCACTCCTCTGCTAAACATCTAACTATTGTCTAAAGCAGCATTGTCAGAAATATAATGCCAGCTACCATTTAAAAAATTTTTGTACCCACTTTAAGAAAAAGTAAAAGATGGTAAATAAGAAACTGGTGACATTAATTTCAATAATATATTTTATTTAACCCAGTATACTCCAAACATTATTATTTCAACATGCCATCATCATAAAAAATAATAATGAGGTATTTTACATTTTTTTTCATACTAAGTCTTCAAAATCTGGTATATAATTTACTTTTAACAGCATATCTCAATTTGGTCTAACCACATTTCAAGGGCTCATATCTGCTTGTGTCTATTGGTTCCCATACTGGGCTGCACAGGACGAAAGCATAAAAAGTTTAAATTAATTAGCTTGCCTTATGAAGGCCCTTGATTAGCTGGTCCTGCCCTCCATCTCCAGCATCATCTCCCATAACTTTTTCTACATACTCTATGTTCCAGCCCCAGCGAATTTTTTCAAGATCTCCTATAGATTTAGCATCCATACTTTTGTACATACTATTCCCTTTACTTGGAAGAACACCTATCTTGTCAACCTGGTGATCTGCTGCTTCTTTATGACATAGTGATCTGCTTGTTCTTCAAGTCTCCTCCTCTGTGAAAGCTTTCTATGTTCCTACTGCTGAACACCCAGACACCCACTCTGTCCTTCCATACCTTCTGGCTGATACCACAGGATGAACAAAAGCTTTCTCTATCTAATGCCCTTCTGATTATAGCTTTCCAGTCAGTCACAGATGAATACAAGTCCTCTTCCTAATCCTGTGAAATCGGGTATTGTAAAGTTTATCATTGGTTGGCATAAGGAGGAGGCACATTTGAGTTAGTTTTTTTTTCCTTGCCTTTACCCACATTATGAACAATTTATTTTCATTATTTTGCCTACGATTTACAAACCTACTTTTTTTAAAGAAGAAACCTCATAAAATTATATTATCCATATTTGTTTTATATTTCTTTTCTAACACTAGAAACCCAACAAAATTAACCTTGAGAATAGAAGACTTTGAAGAATTTCAGTTAATTAATTTGCTAATTGTTCTTTAATTAGCTTGTCCTTATTCTTTAGTCATGATACGAATGACTTATAACCAAGATTCTAGCATAGTGGGACTTTTAAATTTTAATTTCCATTTTTAAAAAGCATGCTCTTTATGAATATTATGGATTGTTTACTATGAGGTTAGGCAATATTTTTCCAAATGTGCTTATTTTTAATTAAATAACTGCGGAAATGTGTTCTCCATGTAAAGTATCAAATTATGCAGAAGTATATACCCAAATCCCCATGTATTTAGCAAGACTAACCACTTGAACGGTCTTCTGAATATCCTTCCAGGTGCTTTATCTGAATTTACACACATACATATGTATTTTCCTCTTCTGTATAAATGCGATTATACTATAAATATTTTTTGTGACTTGAATTTTTTTTGTGTGTGTGCTTTAGGCGAAACTTTACAAAGCAAGTTAGTTTCTCATTCAACAATTTATACACAAATTATTTTTTGACATTGATTGTAATCCCTACGATGTGTCAACACTCTCCCCTTCCTCACACACCCCAATTCCCTGTTTCTGTCCCTCCCTTCCTGCCTTCTCGTCATTGCTCTTAGGCAGATGTTGCACTTTGGACCTCTAATATATGATTGAACTAAGAAGCACATTCCTCACGTGTGTTATTGTTTGTTTTATAGACCTGTCTAATCTTTGGCTGAAGGGAGAACTTTGGGAGTGGCTTCATTTTTTTTTTTTTTTATTGTTGTAGTAGTTAAATGAAGTTTACATTTCAAGTTAGTCTCCCATACAAAATTTTACATATACATTGTTATGGGACCCTAATTGCTCACCCCTTCTGCAACAGCATACTTCTCCTTTCTGCCCCTGATTCCCCATGACCATTCAACCAGCTCCTAACCCTCTCTGCCTTCCCATCTCACCTCTGGACAGAAGCTGCCCCTTTGGTCTCTTGTATCTACTTGACTAAGAGGCACACTCTTCACGAGTATCACTTTATGTCTCACAGTCCAGTCCAATCCCTGTCTGAAGAG